TATTTTTTATTAATTTTGATGTTTTACCTACGTGACTTTACCGAAAAAACCTAAGAATATGAATCATTGCAGTCACGAAAGCTTCAAATCTAGAATTCACTTGCTTATGCAATTCAAGGAAGCAATATCCCAGCGGCTGCGGTAAGCTGGGTCTACAACCAAGTGAAAACGTTGCGCTACTTCACTGCGAATGCGTGGATTGTCTCTGCAACCAGTTGCAGTGCAGTTGCACACGCAGTCAAGAGGCAGCATCCTACTTTTCCAGCGATCCCGGCAATATTTAGCAAACGTATTTCGTCACGTGACACATTTGCAAGCTACCGATTGGTTTGTTAAAATCTTGAAGTGGGGGGGGTGTGGAGCTAACCAGATAAAGGGGGCGGGGCTCTGCTGTAAAGGGGCGTAGCCAGACACGCACTCATATTCTTAGGTTTTTTCGGTAAAGTCACGTAGGTGAAAAATTTAAATTAATAAAAGTAAAATAAATATTAAATAAAAATCATGATTTCGTGATGAAAAATCGTGATTTTTATTTTATGTTTATTTTACTTTTATTAATTTTAATTTTTCACCTACGTGACTTTACCGAAAAAACCTAAGAATATGAATCCTTGCAGTCACGAAAGCTTCAAATCTAGACACGCCCTCGTTGAGCAAACGACAAGAGACTCGTCTGCTTACGAATATTCGACATAGCAACTTTCAGAGATACGAATAAACCCGTCCTGATGTCCAGTTGCCTGTTCGAACAGAGAGTCGTACGTTCAAGTGCCACGCAATAGATGGCGGTGGTGGCATCTACATCTGCAGAACGTGAAGAACCAGTGTCATCTACATCTGCAGAACGTGAAGAACCAGTGGCATCTACATCTGCAGCAGGTGAAGAACCAGTGGCATCTACATCTACAGAACATGAAGAACCAGTGTCATCTACATCTGCAGAACGTGAAGAACCAGTGGCATCTACATCTGCAGAACGTGAAGAACCAGTGGCATCTACATCTGCAGCAGGTGAAGAACCAGTGTCATCTACATCTGCAGAACGTGAAGAACCAGTGGCACCTACATCTGCAGCAGGTGAAGAACCAGTGGCATCTACATCTACAGAACATGAAGAACCAGTGTCATCTACATCTGCAGAACGTGAAGAACCAGTGGCATCTACATCTGCAGAACGTGAAGAACCAGTGGCATCTACATCTGCAGCAGGTGAAGAACCAGTGGCATCTACATCTACAGAACATGAAGAACCAGTGTCATCTACATCTGCAGAACGTGAAGAACCAGTGGCATCTACATCTTCAGCAGGTGAAGAACCAGTGGCATCTACATCTGCAGCAGGTGAAGAACCAGTGGCATCTACATCTACAGAACATGAAGAACCAGGGTCATGCCCATCTGCAGAAGTGAAGAACCAGTGGCATCTACATCTGCAGAACGTGAAGAACCAGTGGCATCTACATCTGCAGCAGGTGAAGAACCAGTGGCATCCACATCTGCAGAACGTGAAGAACCAGTGGCATCTACACCTGCAGAACCTGAAGAACCAGTGACATCTACATCTGCAGCAGGTGAAGAACCAGTGTCATCTCCATCTGCAGAACGTAAGGAACCAGTGGTATCTACATCTGCATAACATGAAGAACCAGTGACATCTACATCTGCAGCAGGTGAAGAACCAGTGGCATCTACATCTGCAGAACGTGAAGAACCAGTGGAATCTACATCTGCAGAACGTGAGGAACCAGTGGCATCTACATATACAGAACCTGAAGAACCAGTGGAGTCTACATCTACATAACATGAAGAACCGGTGGCATCTACATCTGCAGAACATGAAGAACCGGTGACATCTACATCTGCAGCAGGTGAAGAACCAATGGCATCTACATCTGCAGAACGTGAATAACCGGTGGCATCTACATCTGCAGAACATGATGAACCAGTGGCATCTACATCTGCATAACATGATGAACCAGTGGCATCTACATCTGCAGAACGTGAAGAACCAGTGGCATCTACATCTGCAGAACCTGAAGAACCAGTGGCATCTACATCTGCTGCAGGTGAAGAACCAGTGGCATCTACATCTGCAGAACGTGAAGAACCAGTGGCATCTACATCTACAGAACATGAAAAACCAGTGTCATCTACATCTGCAGAACGCGAAGAACCAGTGGCATCTACATATACAGAACATGAAGAACCAGTGACATCTGAATCTACAGGGGATTATACAACTTTGAAAGCCATTCACGTGTTTAGTGTACAGGCCGCACAACACTTTTAGAATCAACAGTAGTAGAGTTGGACTCACGAACAAATCGATTTACGAACAAATCTCTAGAATCTAACTCGTTCGTAAGTAGATGATTCCCTGGTACTTGGCTCAGATGCGGGATACAAGCAGGAGATTAAGTTGCGCAACTCATTCGACAGCCACTTTCGTTGGGCAACTGATTGCTCAGATTACGATCTGGCTTAGGAAAGGAAACCCTTGGAAGGAAATCACGTGAAGATCTGCAGTGCCATTGCAATGATCACGTGGATAGCTCTGCTGATGTTTGAAATTTGTCTTAGGTTTTTTTCGGTAAAGTCACGTAGGTTAAAAATAATCATAAAAGAAAATAACTCAATTAAATCACGACGTTTTGGAGGCAACACAAGTCTCCGTCTTCAGGTGGGACCGTCACAGCAAAATGTACTGTATCAAGTGATACGGAGACTTGTGTTGCCTCCGAAACGTCGTGATTTAATTGAGTTATTTTATTATAATTTTTTACCTACGTGACTTTACCGAAAAAAATCCAAGAGTATGAATCCTTGCAGTCACGAAAGCTTCAAATCTAGAACAAATATATCACCCAGCTCTGGGTGTCAAAGGCACAAAATGGATATAATTATTAATTTAAAATATCTATATTATAAATAAAACTGTACTGCGCACAACAAATGAATGTTTTCCCTCTAAAGCCTTGAGGACCATCATCATCATCGTCATCACAACGATCCATGGGTCCATAGGTGTCCACGGCACATTTCAGAATTCGTTTAAACTTTCCGATGTCTTGTGCCAACATGCTCAAGTAGTGCCACATCTTTCTGGCACCAATCTCTTTCGTAGTCCCGTATAGTGTGTTCTTACATTCAATGTCCCGACTGCGATCTCCTCATTCGCCATTCTCAGCCTCTTTGTTGTTTAAAAATGTGGCTGCTTTGTTTCTTGATGGTGTCGTCGCTGCTGCAGCTGCTGCTGCTGCTTAGAGCCAAGAGGAGGGAAATAATGAAACCAACATTAATTTTAGCTGAATAGGCACCGTGGGAGACTCGAGTTCCCCGCGTAACGTTCACGCGCGGTGTCTCGTCCCATTTCGTTCACGTCGCCGCCATCCGTTCCACACAACAAAACTCACAACACACCGCCTTGCCGATAATAGTCGAGCGGCAACAAGACGTTCACGAGCGACAGCCCCTGGTTAGTCCATGTCGCCAGATTTTACGTTGTCCGCTGGGCCGAGTAGCCCTTGAACGAGAGCGTTGTGTTGCCGCAAAGGGCTTCACTGGGGAAATACATTTCCGATTCGGATTCTGTACACGGCTAACGCAAGTGGATTATTGGATAACATAGTCTATTGCCGATGTAAAAATTATGGTACAACTTAAGTTTTGCCATCTCTGGTGGTATCAATAAGTAAACTAAACTAAAACTATTTTTCATCTTGGTTCTTTCGGTAAAGTCACGTAGAAGGGAAGTAATAAAATAATAAAAATAAAACATACTTCCCTTCTACGTGACTTTACCGAAAGAACCAAGATGATGAATCCCTGCAGTCACGAAAGCTTTAAATCGAAATTTAAAACTATTTTTTTATTTTACCAGGTAAGGTCCACTGAGCTATATAGATCTTTTTCAAAAGCAACCTTGCCACAAATTATAGTTCAACGAAGTGGCTTATCACGTGGTCATTTATAAACACGTTGTTTATAAATGTGGAGAAAAATTCACACGACCACGGGGAGAGAGAGACACGCAAACTCCAAATATACAGCAGGCCTCAGGGTCGGAATCGAAGCCACACCCTCCTGCAAACCTGGCGAGGGAGTTAACATCTCGCCATGTGGTCTGGATGTGTTTGGTCCGGATTCACCGGGGTGAACAGATTCATACTGCTTGGCGGGCAGGGCGGAGATTCAAGAAACTTGCACCATTGTTTCAAGTGCCGCACCGGGAGATTGAACCGGCCGACAATCTGGCATGCGCCTGACACCCCACTGTTGGTACAATTGCTTCCCCGCGTCGAGTTGCTTACGATGTGATTCACGTTGTGTTGCCTATTGTGCGTCAAACAATTAACAACAATTAACGATCATTACACTTGGTTCCAAATAGCACACGTAATTTCCCCGTGGGAGTCGGGATATTCCTGTGAACGTAGAAGTAAAAACTCAGCAGGAGCATTGGATTTTAATTAAAAACAAACTCACGTGCTTTGACTACACAAGATGCTTTTGCGTTTTCTTTTGCTTTTTTTTAATATGTCGTAGAACAAAGATTAGTTAAAAATATATAATACCACCGGCAAACATGATGGAAGGCTCACACACTGATATACACATATATATTTTTGAATATTTTCAGTACCTTAACTTTTTTTCCCTTTTTAATTTCACAAACGAAGCAGAAAAAAATATATATACTTTCAGTATTCCCAAAACACAGCTGTTACAATGTCAGAACTTTAATATGTTTGCTCATTCGTGATGCTCAACAATTGAGGTTGTACAAGCGGTATTACTTGACCAGACCACGTCTTTGCTGATGAGGCCCAATGAACATGAAACCTGATCCAAAGCCGTGTACACTGAATAAATGAACTGGAACTGATTATACAGGGTGGCCCAACATACAGGACACACACGGGTAATCATATTTATTTTCATGCTGGCATTAAAACATTTCAGTTGTTTATTCTTTAAGTTCACATTTTATCTGCGACATTTAAAAATGAAAAATAACATTTGACTGAATTGAGACGAAAAATAATTGACGATATAACATATAATGTTCAAATCTTGCAGGTGTAATCTTGGAAAAGGTCCCGAATTAATTTCAATAGAGAATGCAGGCATGCATCAATGTTCCTGGAAGTCAGTTTAACCATTTATTAAGATAAATTAAATACCCCAATGTGCATTGTTAAAATAAATATAATCACCCTATGCATCCAAACTTTTGGGCCAGCCTGTATATTTCTATCCCCCACATCACATTCAGTCATTTATACAAACCTCCGTTTTCTACCTTCAATGTTTATTTACAAAACGTTGTCAAGTTTGAATATTTTATTCCTCAAGTAATACTCGTCTGTTCGTTTACTTAAAGTCTGATTCATTCCTATTGAACAGGGACTAATACAAACATCTGCAATGCACTTCAACCTACTACCTTGCTGAATAAATAATAAAAAAACTGAGAGCTATCTACCGAACACTGCCGAAGTAGTTGGTAGCAAAATGGAACCTGCACCCACCGATGCGGCCTTCTGGTGCGAGTCCACGCTCGAAAGGTACAACAGCTCTTGGTATGTACGTGTGCCGCCGTATGTGGCCAATCGACTGCGGCAATCAGTGGTGCGGGCAAAAGGACAACAAACTGAACACACGCAGGAAAAAAAGTTACCGCCTACCAGGATGCATCTCGTCTCAGGTCGACGTCTTCACCGGGGTTACAAATTTGTCCAAGTTTATCGGTCCTCTCTCTGAGGCAGCTGCTCTCCCGAGAAATCTGGAAGTCTCCCAGGGACATCAAGAATAGTTTTTTAGTGTCAGTCGCGCAATAATAATAGTAATACTACACCACTCGAGGCAATGCGTTCACAAGTAGTTCTCTGTTCCTGTGGCATTTCGAGGCGTTATTCTGTCAACGTTACGACCCGGTTTTGTTGTCGTCGTCGTCATCATCATCATCTGGGATCCGTCGAGGTCGAGTACGATGATCATCCATTGACCACGATGATGGTCGGGGTTCGTGCCTACGCAGGTGGCTCATGAGGCCAATCCGGGAACCTCCGAGTTGGCGGATGACACTCTGTCTGAACTCTCCCCCTGGAGTGAGCGAGAGAGGCCTCTGCTCCTGGAAAACCACGGCCGCCTCGCGAAGTCAGAACACGCGGCGCGCTCACACGGTGCTCTCCATGACCCACTCCGAACTCAGGCACAGCGATCGGCGCGCCGCCATCTTCGCCCCGTCGGCGTTGCGTGGCAGCGTGCCCCCGCCTGTCAGGTCGCCGGGGTCGCTCTTGCGCTTCCGGCCGCGCGCCTCGAACGACTGGCTCCGCTTGGCGCGTCCGCGCGGGAACTCCCCCGCCGCCGGCAGCACCGCGACGGCGCCGGCCGGCGGCGCCGCCGACTGCAGGCCGAGCAGCCGCGCCAGACGCTGCCCGGCGAGGGACGGCGCCGACGGCGTCGACGAAGCGGCCGCGCCAGCGGAGTAGGACGCTGCGCCCAGCAGCGGCGCCCGCTCCGAGCCCGGCACGAGGCTCGACTGGCGCGAGTCGACTGTGCTGCGGTCGCCGTCGTCGCTCGCCGACACCGGGCGCGCGCCGCCGAGGGGCGGCGGCGACGCCGGGGAGAAGAAGGCGTTGGCGAGCAGGCGGTCGATCTCGGAGCGGACGCCACAATCACAGGTCGCGCCGGCCGTCGCGATCGAGCCTGAGCGCGACGCCGCCGCAGCCGCCGCTGTCGTCCCGTTCCCGGCCTGCCCCGCGCCGCTCAGCGAGACGCTGTCGGGCGTCACCGACGACCTCCCGTCGCTCGACCCCAGCGAGCCGCGGCTGCTCACGCTCGACGCGGAGCACGTGCGGGTGCCGCCGAAGAAGTCGGCAGACTCGTACGCCGGCGCCTCGTCCGCGTGCCGGTGCCGGCGGTCGTGCCGGAGCGGCCGGCGATCGTAGGAGGCGGTCGGCGATGCCGGCGCGGCGCCGCCACCCCCGTTGGGGAACCGCGCCACCCCGCCGTTGTTCTTGGCCGCGTCGCGCGAGCGGCCGCTCGGCTCATGGCGGCAGCAGCAGCAGCTGTCCCGCGCTTCCAGCGCGGACGGGCACCACCGCCCGCAGCCGTCGGCGCGCGCCGCCCGGCCCAGCGCGCCGCGGTTGCGCGCCACGTAGACGCCGATGAACGCGAGCAGCGAGGCGACGATGAGCGCCGCGATGACGAGCACGACGGTGCCGCCCGCGTGCGCCCCCGTCAGCGCCCCCGAGCAGTCGGCGTCGTCGGCGCCGGAGCGGACGGGCGCCGGCGTGGAGAAGTGCACGCAGCCCAGGGCCCGCGTGGAGGCCGAGGGCGCGCCGGCGCGTGCGCACAGCGCCAGCACGCACAGGTCGTAGTCCGAGCCACCCACCAGCTGCGACACGCGGAAGCGCTTGCTCGTGGCCGGGATCATCCTGGAGGGAGGGAGGGACCCAAAGATATAGAGGGCTTCAGTGAACTTTGTCAGGAACAATGCGAAACTGGCCATATCATCATCATCATCATCACGATCCATGGGCATTGGTTTCCACTTTCCTCTGTCTTGTGCCAATATGCTCAAGTAGTGGCCACATCTTGTTGGCACCAATCTCTTACGATGTCGCCGTCAAGGCCTCTCCCTCTCTTTCCGGTTCCTTCCATTTTTCCGAACACCAACAACAACACTTTCAATTTACTGGCGATCTATGGGGGCCACAAAATATGCGATTGAAAGAAATGGCTTATCCAGCCACTGTCGCATCTTCAAGGCCCTGGTTTCTGTCAGTATTTGGCTGGAATGTCACGATGCTAAGTTGAAGGTGGGGGGCGTGTGGGTGGGGAGGTTGGTTCCATTCATTTTGACGCGTTGGGCTACAGAGGGTGACCTCCGTGTGTGATGTGACTGACGGAGGGGATTTAGAAATGGGGTTTTTGAGCGTGGGTTTGTTGTTGTTGTTGTCTGTGAACACAGCGGTAACACAATGGTATTCATGTTACACTGGAAAAAGGTGTAAATGTTACATTTCTTGTTAAACACCAAAAAAACCGACATGATGACCAAAAATAACGAGGGAAGGGAGACGACAGAGACGCGGGCGCAAAGCTGTCGACGCCGTGCGGTTCGCTCCGACGTTCTCGCGCTCGCGGCTGCGCTCTTCGCAAAGCTGATTTGCCAGCGAAGGTTGAAATTGTTTCCGCGTTACGTACGTACGCCGATCGTCTTTCGCACCGCACGCCGTGCTAATCGGATGCGCGGTGCCTCCTGTTCGTACGTTCGTAATGGGAGGTCGCGTACAGACGATCCGTTATAAACCGAACTCTCCCGCAAAGTTGCGTTGTTGCCGTTCGGGATTTGTCCTTTAGCGCACGGGGCGGGCGAGCAAATGCCGTCAAAGGGATATTGCCCAAACTTTGGAGACGCAAACTGAAGCGAACACTTTTATTTTTTTTGCCTCGACAGCAACCCCGATGGCTTCCGTACTGGCAATGAAATCCGTCTGAGAAATGCTCGGGGAAGCGTAATAGAATCGTATGTATGCATGTTGAACTTCTTTCCAATTATACGTGCTAATTGGAGGTGCCGGGATAAGGACGACAAACTAAACACATTTAAAACTTTCGTGACTGCAGGGATTCATCTTCTTGGTTCTTTCGGTAAAGTCACGTAGAAGTGAAGTAATAAAATAAAAAAATAAAAACATAATAAAATTAAAAAAAACTATTAGAAGTAATAAAATAATAAAAAAATAAACGTAATAAAAAATATTTGTTATTTTATTATGTTTTATTATTTTATTACTTCCCTTCTACGTGACTTTACCGAAAGAACCAAGAAGAAGAAACTAAACACACGCAAAAAAATGCATGCATGTGGCGCGATGTTTCTAACTTGTATACTCAGAATGTTTATCAACATCATGGGACCTCCTTTGCCAGTTCGAAAATATGAGAATAGGTTTTTCTCCTTTTTTCTGGCAACAAAACAGGTGTTAAGTTGTTAAAACACCAAAATGAAACCTCTTTACAAGGAATCATGTCTGCATTAACCACAATGCTTGTGGTCAAAATGCAAACAAAAAACATACTCTGATTCCTTGTGAAAGGTTTCAGATTGGTGTTTTAACAACTTAACACCCGGTTTGTTGCCAGATAAAAGAGGAAAAACTTATTTTCATGTTTATCAACGATTAATATAATGGGAGTGTGGAGCGGTGGTACATTGGTTAGCACACTGCCGGTATAAACCCGAGTTCGATTCCCAGCCACGGCGGACACGAGTGGCGATTGATATCTGGACCAGTGCTGAGCACCCCGCTCACCAACCAGCACTGACCAGCACGGTGAGGTATGGTCAAACAACCTCCGTGACTCACAGGGCGTGCAGACGGTTTCATCCAGCAGTGGATTGACGAGGGGATAATATGATAATTGTTTTTTTACCCTTTTATCTGGCAACAAAACTGACACCTTTTTTACGAGGAGTCATGTTTGCATAGACCACAATACCTGCAGTCTTAATGCAAACAAAAAACATAACTCTGATAATGTATGCACTGTCCTTGAAGTTGATTGGTCCACACCCGAGACAGCTTTCCTTAGAGCCTAGTCTCACATGGGTTGGACCAGATGACGCCCAAAGGCGCACAACTCAAAGACAATGCACCATCAGAGTATGAGAGCTCGGGGTAAGCATTTACACCAATTATCATATTTTTTTGGCAAAGGAGGTACCAATGGTGAGGGGATAAGAGTTACTCCCAGAAACACTAAATTCACGCTACTCATTATTCCTTGAAGCGGCCATCGCATTCACCTTACGTCCATGTCTACCCAGCGAGTGCATCGCATCCAGGAGGGTGACCACCGGGGAGATGGAACGATGAGATCAGTTTGTGTGCTCCAGGTGGCGGGCGGATCGTTGCGTCGCAGGATGACGGGCGGCAGCGGTGGTATCGTCCGGCACCGGTTTTTTACAAGGTGGGCTTGTCACACCGTAAGTCATTCGCTGCGCTCGCTTAATCTCTTTTCACTTTAACCCTCGGACGTGGGGGAAGTGTAACGTTGTAAATGATAAATGGAGTCATAAGCGTGGAGGTAACCGCGCAAAGTGGTTACAACCGCAGCACACTTTGAATCCACGCAAGCTGTCGGTGTGCATGTTTGTACACGTGTTTGTGCAGTTGTTAAATTAAATGTGTGGGTATAGGGATATTTTGTATATATGAATTCGAATTTTGTGTATTTCTTATTAGAAAAAAAAAATCACACGGCACTTTCGAAAAGTGTTCAAATTTACCGAAAAGATAAAACTGCTTCAACCCAAACCATTTGTCCATGTGAAGATGGCTGAAACGCCGGTCACATGACACGGGTCATGATAATGCTGTCCCGTAAAACTGACCTCTCACATTTTGTGTAAGAGTGCTTTTCATTCCGTGGAAGTTATAACAGTATAAAACGTGAACCTATAAAACATCGGGTGGGATGAATTATGGGATCGGTAAGCTGTGTTTTGGATTGTACCATATTTTCAAATTACATTTTATCCATTGATGTATACAACTAGAGTTAAGCCGATGTGGCTGTGTGGCTCAGTGGTAAAGTATTGAGCTCAATTTGGAAAGTTGCCAGTTCCAATCCTGGGCCAGGGGTTTGACTCAGCCCATCATGCATCTGGGGTCAATAAAATATGTACCACTTTGTAGAAACATCCACAGTTGTTGTCACATGGACTCAAACATATCATAAGAAAGTGTGATATAAGTGTTATTTCCTAATTGCTTATGCCTCAAAAGTCTCAGAAAATGGCTATTATTCCCCACAAACTTTGCTTTTGTGACCAGGACAGTGATATTTTGAAATTTACCTATTTTTTATGAGAAAACGTATGCATTTGTTGTCATTCCTTCACGTAAAGTCCTGGTCACAAAAGCAAAGTTTGCGGGGGAAAATAGACATTTTCTATACTTTTTAGTCATAAGCAATTATAAAATAACACTTACTACCCAGGAGCAAAAATCGTGTTACATAGTGTAATTCGAAGTCTCAACGGGATATCGCATGGCCAGAAATAAAGGATGTTGTTTTTCATTCCATCTTTCATATTTTCGAGCTTTTTGGAAAACGGGAGCGTCGGCCTTAGACGGTGCAACGGCAACGTTAATTATACACTGGTCAACACACTTTTTCTGTGATAAGGTGTTCCAACGGTGTTAAGGTAATTTTGGGGTGCTGATTCCAAATCTGGCATCAGTTTTTGTCTATCACACCAGGTTTTTGAGATATCAAATATTGCATTTTCAATAAAAACTGCAGAAGAAAAATATTAAATAAATGTGGATATCTACATAAAATGATATTATAAACACATTATCCTAAAAATATAGCACAATGCTTTAACATTAAAGCAGTCACTGACTCGCAACAACTTGCAATCATAAGTGACAGAGTTAATTTCGGGTAAAATCAATGAAAATGGGGTATGCCGATAGCATAAAATGAGATGTGATAGAGCAAATCTGAGATCAGATTTGGAATCAGCACCCTGAAATTAGTCTAAAACAGCTGCAAAAGTCCAGGCCGGAAAAAAACGTTTTTTTGTTGTTGACCAGTGTTATAATTGAACACTTTTCGGTATTCACGCCATTGTCGTCGCAAACAAGGCTACCGCGAAGCTGCAGTGCTTCGTAGACGAGTAGAGTCTGCCAGGAGGGGGGTCAATATTGATCAATATGGATGCGCGGTTTCACGCAATTATGCCGCGCGCACCAACACAAAATAATAGCGCGAGCGGGAATACAAGCGACAAAAAGTAATATTTAAAAAAACTTTTTCAAAAACACGCTTTAATGAAATTGACCGTGCTATTAATGGAAGAACTCCACGACTCCAGGAAGTGGCCCGAAGCTTGCAACAACGTAAGGGGACTGTGGGCAATTACAGCCAACGTCAGTTTACCGTGGACAATTAGACCCAAGCCGAAACATAACATATAAAAAAAACTTTGTTTAAAAAAATATATATATTTTTTCAATGATAGAATATAGTATTGTCATCAGTATCACATACGTATACCACGTTTGCAGTCGATACCACATTGGGAAGTGGGTTCCAATTTAGTTACAAGATTTGAGGATACAACAACAACAACGACGACAACGACTTCTCTACGCGCACTTCGCTCGGAGGTCGACGATCGAAGCGGACGACCGCGACCCTTCAAAGGAATAGCGTCACCCCCCAATGGGCCCCCCCCCCCCCACACACACACACACCCTCCCCCCCCCCCGTATCAACCAAATCACTCGTGACGCCGGTGTACGGCAGTCAAGAGCAGTTCACGCGGACGCTGTCGCGAGAGGTCACACACGTGCGTTTGGCGTGGCGTTCCTTCAGCGGCGTGAAAAACAAATGAATGAATACATCTTCTTGGTTC